AAAGAATGGGCTATGAGCCAGTTATAACAAAGAATCTTTAATAAAACTTCTTACATACATGTACATGCAAACGTTTCGACCCCGATCGGGTCATTTTCAATGCAAAATAAACAAAATATAAAGTTGTCAGAAGATTTAAAATTATAACGTCCAGTATCGAAATCAGCTACATCAATCGCGAATCTGTATAAATGTGGCGGAACTAAATTGAATTCGATACAAGCCTTTACAAATCTTGTACGTACTCTAATATTAACATTTAGTTTGATTAAATGACATATCTGTTTCGTCACCTCGCACGCCTCTAAACCAAAGTGATTTCTAATAAACGCAAAGGAAAATTTGAAATTATTGTAACGCATTCTCTTGCCCGCGTATATAAACGTTTGATTAGATTAACTGATTCTTTAAATCAGTTAATCTAATCAAACCAATTAAACGTTAATTTTACTTTCTTAAATATTACCTTATTTTTCTTATTATTATAAAAAATTTATTACTATTACACGCAAAGAACAGATTAGCCAACGCAGCTAAAATATAGCTGTGGCAGTTAAAATGTGTCCTTATAATAGGGACAGCTAATGTCATTGCTGCTCAATTTATTAACAGTTAAAATTTAGCTACAGCGAAAAATATTCTCTGCTAGAGTAAAATGGCAACCGACAGCGTTTCAGAAACAATTGCGAATGGAATGTTCGGTTACGCGGCTAAGATAGTGAGGAATAGCTGCCGCTTACTTATTGTTATAGCTACTCGTGTTAAGTACGATTTTAATTTTAACTAATAAAGTTACACGTCGGCGGCAAATGTATTTCATCATCAATAGCCAACTTTTAACAATAACAGCAAAGTTTGAACCAGCAATTGATATTACTAAGTCCTTTTTCTTCGTGTATTGCTTATTCTTACTACTATTATTACGTTTGGTAATATTTATTAGATGTTGCACTAATACGCTAAACAAGATACATTTGATAGTTATTACCAAATCTTTTTTCAGTGCAGACATTTATTTAGGATAAGCAACAAATGGAACGACGAAATCGTCATGGATAATTATTAATCCTTTAGTTGTGCGCAAACATACGTATATCGTATATCTGATTTATAATTGAGAATTATGCGATGAGAAAGCGAATATAAAAGGGGCAATGTAAGAAATTAATTGAAATTTTCACATTAATTTGACACTTTACGTTACTCCATGTTCGTTAATGTGATCTGTGGAAATGATAAACGTTTCATCATAATTCATATCGCATTAAAGAAATATCATGATATTTTGTTACGTCATTGTTCCCGTCTCGTCGGAGGTCTTTTTAAAAGTCTTTTCGAAAGAAAACGATCGCACGTGTCACAGCTAAAGGGTCAAACTCGAGGAACCGACTGATAGCTCCGTCGTCGTCCGGTTCCTCTTTGTATACTTGATTTGGCGTCCCGAACGCCGCGTTTGGAAGGCATTTCAGAAGGCATTGAATTCCTAGTGTGTATTGTCACGAGTTGACATCGATTACATGCCTTGACCTACCTATACGTGATTCCGTTTACGTACGCTTCGCGATTGTAAGCCCGGGCCTGATGCGAAACCGACGTCTCGTTTCGCTTCAGAGAGCGCCGGATGTGAAGCGATCTAGTTGAATCCTGAGTCTTAAGAAGAACATATACGAGTAATCATTGCTCCAGGCAAAGAGGATCTCGTTACGTTAAAATCGCTCGAAAAATTGTAAAGCAGAAGTCGACGATCGGTGATTCGTTGTACTATCGAGCGCTGTCGTATAATACTTTCATAATACTAAGAAAAAAGACGAATTATCCAAAGTGGCAGTTGCGCGGTTAGTTTATCCTGATTAGTCTCATATATTTAATGAAGTATCTCTGGCAGTATATAGAGCTTCGCGGGAGTTCTTCTAGAATTCCCTTCCACGAAGTCCTTCCTCGGCGTATCCGCTTCCCTCGTCGAAAAATTAAATGAATACTTATAACGCAAGAGATATCAAACCGTCACTGTACATAAAGTAGAAACAAGAATATTCTAAAAATTCTTCCTTAGAAACAAGAAAATATTTCAACGTTATGCGTCGAAATATGTGAATTAAAATTGCAATCGTTAAAAATCGTTAAAAATTTTGAAATACTAAAAATTATCGCGTAGAAATAGATATCCCATCTATTTTCGACGTTTCGCGATGGTCATCGGTATAAATATATTCCAAAACGATCGAGTCAAAATCAACATTCGATTCCTTTTACAGAAAAACGATCGGATGCAGAAACGTTGCGTAAAAGGATCCACTCCCGGACGGTCGCACAAACGGATTACTCGTGTGCGGAGTAACGCACACGTCGACAAATTGCGTGTACGCGAATTGCGTGCGGAACGTTTTTACGTGCTGTACGCGCAATGCAATGAAGTTCTTTTTCTCGTGTGCTCGATACCGAAACAGGACCGTTGGACTGATCAGTGATAAATTGTGGCTCGGAAGCCACGATGTTGCATGTTTAATGCCACAGCTGATCCGCCCAGACCCGGCTAACGACGTCGATGCAGATTTATGCTAAGGGAAACGGAAAAACGATTGCTCCTAGATTCGATAACATCCGATGAATAATGAAGTAAAGAGGATTCGGAAGGAAATCCGTGATGAACTCCCGATCGTCCTTTGGTAATACGATGCGCAACGAAGGTAAGACTCGTTCTCGTCATTTCGTCTCGAATTTTCATATTCTCGAGAGAGCATAATAATCAAGTCGAAAGAAACTGTCGTCTCGCTTTTGCTCTCATTGAACGTTAATTACGCTGTTACATCACAATAGACATAACACGATACTTTCATCTCGTTCCAATCTAAAGATTTCATACGGATAAAAATGGAATATATTCTCGAAATATTTTAATAAATAGTGATAACGAAGATTACGTTAGATTACTCGTATAACGAATTACTGGTGTAAAAGATTACATTATCAAAAACTGGCCGTCGAAAAATTTGCCGTAAAATGGCGAAATTGTTTTAGAAATTAAAACTGCCACGTAATAACGCAGCATATCAATGAATATCGTTGTCCGCTGGAGAAAAAAAAAAGAATATTAATTCGCCTCGATCATAAATCATGCATTGTTTCTGCCCGCTACCGAGGTCCGAAGAGTACGCGTCATTGTCTGTTTTAGCGGCGTAGACCCATTACAAACTCTGATTTATGAACGATGCGCTTCGAGAATAGGTTCTTGAAGCAACGTAAAGAAATGCTCATAGCATTTCCAGGCGTCGAGCAAAGGTAAATTCTGAACACCCTTTTTAGATAAACAGAAATTTTTAAAATTTTTAAATAGTCTTCGGATCGTATTTAGGCGGCGATGAGGTGTTTGTACCGAACACACGCCCGTAATATTTAGTAATGAATATTCACGGTACATAAAACATGATAGTAATTGCCTGAGGAACTCGCAATTAAAAGACATCAGAAAAGATCGAAATAGACGAGTGCCTTTTAAACATTTGTGTTGCTCGGATTAACACCCGTCGCCTCGAATGTTCTGCACTTCTTCTCGTGTCGTGCTCGTGATAGATACGTTGAATATATACAGACATCTGTACAATGTCTCGTCGTTTAAAGTGCCTCGAGTGCGAAAGCGTCAAGCTCGAGTTAAAATATCGCGATTCAAAATCTCCGGCGTGATTCGGAATAAATCCAAAGTATCATGCGATTTTGCGAGTTCTCGAGATATTACATATGCCATATGTAAAGGAATAAAAAAGAGGAACATGTACACGAAAGTGCTCTAAAATGTGAGATCGACGAGATATCGTAGTAAAGAGTTTCTGTTAATTGCGTACGGTGAGTAATTGCTTATGTCAGAGAAGATGGATCGCGTGGTGGTAAGTCCGGCAGAACCAAAACAGGAATGGACAATTAGCGTTCCCGTTCTTTCGTCAGCGAAATTTCACGATCTATCTTTGTCGACGCAAGTGTATTCAGTTTTCAGATCCAATGATTAGAACGAAGTGTGTTTGCCGCCTGCCTCGTGCAATCCGATCATATATATTGTTGGCGATCAACATCCGCTCGAACGGGACGGTTCGGAAGTTACTACCGAGATTTCAGATAATCGTACACGCGCTGCTGATTTTCCGATTGTATTTCGCTCGACAGATGTTGCGAGACGTTGAGTTAACGACGACTGCACCGTCGAATAGCTCGCGACAGGAAAATCAAGTCTTACGTGACTTACCTTGTATACGCGTTTATACGCTGTGTCATTCGTTTCTTTGTTGTACGTTCTCTTTCTCTCCCTCTACGAATAGAAATCCGCATTTTCGTACGCCATTTTACGACCAGATAGAACAAAGCGTAAATAATTCTCTCCGTATTCTACTGCACGAAATTACGCTATCGCGTTTCACGAGAACTCAAACAGCGAGAAAGTACAAAACATACCTAAAATACGTCCGAAAGGCGTCTTAAACACTTTCGGGTGTTCTTTAGACATTTCCCGGGCCTCTCTCGTATTCGCGTATTATCTGAGAAATGTCAATAAGAAAACATTTCAGCAAAAGTTTCTCGACCTTTTCGCAGGTCAACGACAGAAAACTTCTTGCCCCGATCCTGCGGAAATATCTTATGGTCGATTAATCCAACGTTATTATGTGAGGACACTTCGTTTGTATCACCGATGTACGGAGTAATATTGTGCGTAAAAGCTCGTCAACTTGCTCACGAAGAAGAAGTAAAGCGGAAGAGACGCAGTACCGTTTACGACTGCGGACAAATCGTCGGCACAAAGTGCAATCGCTGGTTTCCTGGTGAATGGAGACCGTTCATGGGACCACATTACCCTTTCGCTCGTCTCCGTGTAAGTTTTCCGCGATGGAAACTTCTCCGAACAACGAATTGCAGCCGCGAGACGACCTCTCGATAAGTTCAATCACGATTCAAATCGGATTGCTCTCATCACGCTTATCGGCCGATCAAGCGCAATGACAAGCGTATTCGACGATTTTCACCAGAGATGACTGATGAGAGATTTTTAAGTGCCGAAAGATCGACTCGGAGGGAGAACCCATTCTAGCAGATGGTTTCTAACGGAGCAGTTTTAGTGCTCGGATTTTGCGTTACGCTGTCACCCATGCTAGGCATCCCGTGGCTGGTTGTGCTGTGACCGTTACCCTGTCTCCCGGCGTTGGTTTGC